AAATCAGAGTAGCAGTTTCCAACAATACACCTGTAGTAGAAGTCAGAGTAGTAGTTTTTAACAATACACCTGTAGTAAAAATCAGAGTAGTAGTTTCCAACAACACACCTGTAGTAGAAATCAGAGTAGCAGTTTCCAACAAAACTACAGGTGTATTGTTGGAAACTACTACTCTGACTTCTACTACAGGTGTATTGTTGGAAACTACTACTCTGACTTCTACTACAGGTGTAACTACCCAAGTACAACAATCCTTCTGAAACAACCTTTAGGACAGGATACTAAAACAAACTGAATTTCAAAATTTAGTACCTAATCAGCACTAAAATGTAATAAAAATAAACATGAACATTTTATAACAAATTCACTGAAAAACTTCCTAAGGAATATGGAAAATAGTATGTACATTTTTTAACATTATAATACGTATTATACTAGGGAATAATATATTAAAAGCAAACCAATAAAATATACACACATTGCTTCTTGTAGATATGTTCCCCTGAATTATTAACTTACCATTACCAGATGTAGTTGTATTCATGTAAACCTCCTATGACATTCCATAACTGGACTTCTGCTACAGGTGTATTGTTGGAAACTACTACTCTGATTTCTCCTACAGGTGTATTGTTGGAAACTACTACTCTGACTTCTACTACATGTGTATTGTTGGAAACTACTACTCTGACTTCTACTACAGGTGTATTGTTGGAAACTACTACTCTCTGACTTCTCTACTATGGGTATCGAAACCCAGTTTTTTTTAGCCTGATAAGTCTGCAAACTTACCTCTGAGTCACTGGGGGGCACTTAGTTTAAACTTCCCACGTAATAATTAGCTCTTGATTAGCTCGTGGTTAAATAAAAAAAAACTATATTAAGTTGCAAAAACTTCCACTACACATGTGTATTTTATTAAAAGAAATTGTTGTTTCACCAATAGAATCAACATTAATGTTAATAGAACCATTTTAAGATGTTCTGTTTTACAACAAAATATCTGAACACTTTGTAGAGAGTAAATTACATCTGATACTCAGTGGCTAACTGATATATTTCTGACTACAGTGAGTAACTGATCTCTTATTGCACTAGTGTAGAAGCTAGCGTGATTTCCAGCATACCACTATAAATTCATCGGTTCCGCTAGACCAGTTCTTCACGAGTTTGGTAACAGCATGACCTTGTGCTGGACTGTTGTGTCTAGAACATTTTGTTGGTAGAGCTGCAACAGCTGCAAGATTTAAATACAGAGAGCAGATGTCTGTCGGGGAAGGGTGTAACATCTCCACAGCTGACTTGAAAATCTGAAATTTAGCACAGTTAGTGTGCAACAATTTTAAATCTCACTCGCTGTGCACTGTTAGTACATTAATCACTTGAGATCATATTGAACTGAAAATGGCAAAAAATTTTATTTGTTATTCTTTTCCCAATGGATTCAACATTAATTTAACTAATGTAATCTTAAACTTTCTGTTTTCGATACATTATACAAATAAACTTAGTTGAAGGTTTGGTTGGTTGTCATTAAGCACAAAGCTACACAATGGGCTATTTGTACTCTTGTCCAGAGGACTTGCATCAAGTAATTCATTTCAATTCTTATCATTTTGAGCTCGTGTTTAGTGAAGTAGTTTGGAAAGAATACTATACTAATAAAAAAGGTACTGTAGTGAGAAATGAAAGTCTCTTGGAAATCCACTTCTAAACAGCCTTCTCTAGACCAACTGAATGACTGGTTTCTAAAATGATGCAGCTTCTAAACAGCCTTCTCTAGACCAACTGAATGACTGGTTTCTAAAA